GCCTTTGTCAGACCTTTCTCCTCTGCATCTCTTTGTATGTGTATTGATGGAGGGGTGGGTGTGAGGTTGGAGGAAACCTCCCCCTCTCACGCTGGCCTGCATCACCTACCGACCCTGGGTGATGTGGATAGCCTGGAGGTAGGGGTGAGAGGGCACCTGGGCCCAGGCTTTTGGAAGTCGAGGTGCAGGTTCCCAGATGCCTGGGCCCCTGACCTTGGCACGGAGCCAGGCTGGCTCGCCTGGCACTGCTGTTCTCCTGTGGGCAGAGCCGGGCCCCGCCCTCTCAGAGGCTTGGGTGGGGGTGCGGCAGAGCTAGCTGATACCGTGGGAACCGACTCCCCACGGAGAAAACTTGGGCAGGCTGGGCGATACTTCTGGGGACAGGATCCCGCCTGCCTCTTCCCTCCCTTCACCCTCTAGAGAAGGAGGCTGTAAGGAGTCCCCTCTGACTGCCACTACCTCTGTCAGGGAGAGCGGAGGTAGCTAGGAGAAGGCTTCAGGCTCCAGTTCGCCAGGACCTGGGATGGGGAAGGAAGGGTTCCTTCCTGGCAGCTGTCTAGGAATAGGGACAGCAGACGTTGGCACCGGAGGCACTGGCTGGCACAGTAGATCCTGAGCGTTTCTCCCAGCCTGGGGTGCTGGCCTGAGGGGGGGTGCCCTTCCTCTCCTTGAAGGCTCTCTCCTTTCATGTCCTCAGAGGCAGATCCTGGAGGAAGGGGAGCTGTCCCCTCACCTTTGTAGTTTCTGCTACCTGGACTCAGGTGACCAGCTCATGTCTGGGAGGGGGGTGGGAGCAGAGAGAGTTTTATTAAAATCAGGTAGCGGTCCCTCTGGGGAGAATCTTTTTTTGGGAGGAGATGAAGTTGCAGCTCCCCCACCTCCAGGGCCCAGCAGGCATTCAGTCCTAAAGTGGGCACTGCCAGCTGCTTCCCCCCACACCCCCACCCCTGCTGTGAGCCACTGCCTCCTGTTGTTATGGCAACTGGGAATTAGGGTTTTCTCCAACAGCACAGCCCAGGAAGGCAAAGGGAGGAAGGGTGGTGGGTTACCCCCCTGCCCCCGCCCCTGGAGAATGAGGGAGCCAACCTCAGCTTGGGAAGGCCATGGGATGGGAGCTGGGGCTGTAAACTCATGGCTGGTTCTGCCCACAGTCCCCTGCTGTCCTTGTCCCAGCTCTGGGCTAAGAAGGGGTGAGGGGAGAATGAGGAAGCCAGAGAGGCCTTGGGGAGGTACGACACCATTTCTCTCAGCCAGATGGACAAGTGTTTGCGGAGCATCTACACTGTGCTGGGCCTAGGATCCAGAGGCAAATAAAATAGGTGTAGCTCTTGACCTCATGGAGCTTACAGTCTGGGAGTACCCATCTTTCCTGCTTTTGACTCAAATTCTGGACTCCTATACCCACTTTCTCTCCAAAAAAAAAAAAAAAAGAAACAAACAGATGGCAGGCAGAAACACTTAATTATTTTTGAGAGTCATAAAGCCTGGGTGTTCATTGTCCCTTTCTGTATTAGCTTTGTGACCTTGGGAAAATGAATTAACCTCTCTGATCCTCTGTCTCCTCCTCCTTGGAGAAATGGACATGTAATATCTGCGTTTCCTGCCTCCCAGGACTGTGGGATCATCCAGTTTCTGGGCAATGCCCTGTCCCCTACCTTGTTAGCTGATCCTGAGGGGGAACCCCTTCCCCATTGCTTTGCCCTTGTGCCTTCTCATCCTCCTCTCTCCTCTCCTCCAGGAGAGACTTTTCAGAGCCCTTGCTGACCTCACCATGCCTGTGGCCGCCACCAACTCTGAGACTGGTAAGAAGGGGGTGAGGATGTTCAGAGGGTGCCAGGCAGGGACTTGAGGGTGGGGAACAGCCGTCAGGCAGCCCCACAGCTCCCTGCAAGAACCAGCTGCCCTGCACCGCTGCTCCACCCAGCCACTCAGCCATTCTTTCAGCTGGCTTCTATGACTCTGCTGCACCTGCCCTATGGTGGGGCTGGAGACACAGCGCAACTCACCTCTGTGGAGGGCAGGGGGATGCGTGCCCCAGAGATGATCCACACTGTTGCTGGAAGGCAATGGCCTGGGGCCAGGCTGCTTAGAGAAGGGGCCTCTAGGAGCTGGGCCTTGAGGGGTGGCTTGGGGATGGAGGGACTGCAGCAGCAAGGCCTGGGGCTCAGAAGTTTGTGGAGCAGTGCCCACCAGATGGGTGGGGTAGACCAGCGAATGGTAGAGATGGGGGCGTGTATGTGCTGTGGTGCAGGAAGCTGTGCGTGGAGAATGCCAGGTCAGGAAGCCTCAACTTGGTTCTGTAGGAGGTTTGGGGGCAGGGGAGTGGGCCACCCAGACAAGCTCGGAAGCCTCAGGAGCAAGCTACGTAACCTCTTGGAGCCTGCGTCTCCTCTCCTATGAAGAGGCCGAGTGAATCTCCCAGGCTGTGGTGGGATAGCGCAGTACTGTTAAGAATATTCAGTTGCTGTGCTGTGCTGCTGGGGTACCTTGGCTGATTCACCTGTGACCTTGAGTCAGTCACTTCCCTTTTAGGACCCAGGTTTCCCCATCTGTAAGATGAGGTGATGGGACAAGATTAGTGTCCTTAACTTTTATCGGTCCTGGATCCTTTGATCCAGGTGAGAATCTGGTGACAGCCACAGGCCCTCATTGGAGACAAATGCTTCTATGTGTGAAATCTGCATTCCACTCCGGGGGTTCGTGGGCCCCCTTAAGTGCATTCAGGGACCCGCCAGGTGAAGTTCCCTGTGCTGGAGGCTCACTCAGCGGCCTGATAACCACTGGAAACTGCTGTGGTTTGCCCTGATGTATCCTAACTTCCCCCACCTGCATGCTTGCCGCCCTGCAGCTTCTCCCTCACTCTGGGCCCTGCTGCTCCCTCGGCAAGATGTTGCCCAGTCTCTCCCATTCTGGTTAGCGTGGGTGGCTCCCCTGTCCCTCCCCTTTGAGAAACTGAACCAGGAAAGCGAAGGCTGCTGTGAGTAGGCCAGAGCCCAAACTGTGACACCCTTGTCCCCCCCCAGGAAAGGCCTCTTCTCTATGCAGTGGAGGGACTGGGCCAGTATCCCTCAGCTTTTGCAGCCTGGGAGGGCTCAGTGCTTCCACCTCCTGTCCAGCCTGCTGCGCCCCCGGGGCCTCTCCCCCTGCTCTAGCCTGCCTGGGCCCCACTGTAAGCTGCTTAGGAGTTAATTAAGCCCATCCCTGAGCCCGTGATTAAAGGTCTATCAATCTGGGGCTGCCCAGTAAACCCATTAATAGTGCCTGACAGGAGTGAAAACGCTCCACAATTTGGCTTCCCTGCTGCCGGCCGCTTGATGGGGGTGTGGTAGGATGGGGTGGGGGACAGGGCAGGGAATGGAGCCCAGGGGTGTGGGTATGGGGCCTGCTTCCTCTGAGAACTCCTGGGGCCCCTGGTCCCCCGGTGTTGTGCCATGGGCTGCTTCTGCCTTCCCATATCCAAAGGAAGGTCAGGAGCAAGCTGCTTAACCTCTTGGAGCCTGCATTTCCTCTCCTGTAAAGAGATGATGTGAGACCAAAAGGCTCTAAGTTTCTTAGCCTCCCCCTCAGGGAGCCCTCTCTGCTTGCTCTGGGCTGGATGGGCTCCAGGCCTCAAAAATCTAGTGGTGGGTTCTGCTCCTTCTCATTTCACGGTCATTACACTTCCCACAGACAGCTGCGCCCTGGCCTCTGGGGTCAGGTTCACCACCCCCTGCCCCGGGAGATCCCTGCCTTGGGCTCTGCAGAGACTGAAGCTAGCAAGGTCCTCTCCCACCCTTCCCCACTGATCAACATGGTCGTTGTCATTGTGGAGGGAGGGAAATGTGTTCCTCTTGCAGAGAGACCCCAAGTCTATTTCTAGTAAGGTGGAGAAGCCCTTTTCCTGAGGGTTGGAAGCAGGGTGGAGATGTATGGGTGATGGCCTGGGCTGAGAGTTTAGAGAACTTGCCCCTGGAGACTCCAGACCTGCAGCTTCGCCCTCTCTTCCCCCTTGACCCAACTCCTTCCTTTCTTTGAATAAGGCAGGGATGTGGGCTGCTTTCAGGTGGAGCTGTTCCTTTAAATCTCTCTCTCATCCCTGGGTTAAAGTCCTGGTGTGTAAGCCCGCCTGCTGCCATGGCAACCAGGGGTGCAGTGCAACCTGGTGCCACTCCTCAGGGAATGACTGGCTGCTGGCCTCATGGGTACAGGGTCTCAGAGGAATAAAGGTTCTGGGCTGGGGTTAACTGTCAAGTCCCCCCTTCCTGCCCACCCTTGTCCCTGTTGTGGGAATGTGCTGTCACCTTTTCACTCCTCCAATTCCAAGATGCCTGACTTGCCCACTGGGCATCACCCCCTTACCTAAGGGCAAGAGCTAATGGGAGATGGGGGAGGGGAGAAGCCGCTGCTGAGATGTAGGGTCAGAAGGGCTTGAGGTACCCTTCCCTGCCCACAGTGGTGCTACCCGCCTTCCTTTTCCTCCCTGTCCCCTCACCCACCCTGCCCCATGGCTGGCAGCCAAGGGGAGACAACTGGGGCTTGAGGCATTTGCCCTGTGCCAGAGTGGTGCCACTGGTCCTGGCGGAGAACTGAGAGTCGTTCTTGGGGCCTTCCTTTGATCCTGAGGGGGTCATTGGAAAGGGGCCTGGAGAGGGGACATAGAGTAGAGGTCTGAGGGCAGGAGGAGGAGGTGGCACAGGGTGTATTTGAGGAGGGACTTCCAGGAAAAGGGGGCGGGAACTAGATGGTGCCAAGTCCCCACCCCCTTGGGTTTCGAGCTTCCGAGATCGGGCAGTCCTAGGAGAGGGATTCTCTCTTTCCCATTGCCCCCTCCCCACCTGTCTGCTCCAGTCGGGGTTTTGGCCAATCAGCAAGGCGGTTAGAGCGGCTGAGCCTTGCTATTGGCTGATCCTGCAGAGGGCGCTCCCTGAGTCCCGCCTCCTCCAGCGCAGCCCCCTCTGGCTGGGAAGGCGCCCACGGTGGCGTGGAGGCCACTCCGGCAGCCTGGGCGGGTGGAGGCGGCCATGGCGGGCAGCCCAGGCAGCGGGGCCTCCTTGGAGGGCATATCCCTGGGCTCCTCTGAGGAAGCCGAGCTCCGGAGGGAAGGTAGGGGAAGGCAGGAAGGGGAGTTTGGGGGGAAAGCTGGACCGGGGGTTGGGGACGTCTGGAGAGGTGCCCTAGGAGTGGGCTCCCGGGAACCTAAGGGTGTAAGGGCATGGCCCACCAGGAGTGCTGGCCCGGGCAGAGGGCACCGGCTTTCCCCCATGGCTGGCGGCTGGGGAGGATGACAGGGGAGGGTGGATCCCAGGATACTCTGGCAGAGTGGGAAGGGTCCTGCCCTGGCCTTTTTCTGAGCCCACTAAGGGCCTTGCAGGTCTCTGAGCAATGCCAAGCCCAGGCCTGGGCAGGAGAAGCCTGGAGGGCAGCTTGGATGTTGTTTCTGGAGAAAGTAGGGAGGAGGAGGGGGAAGAGGGTGAGAGTCCAGGAGTCCCTGAACCTTGTCTGCCTGCTCCAGTGTCACTGCCCCCTCCTCCAGGAAGGAAGGGGGATGGGGAGGAGGGGGCAGTGACAAGAGCAGTGAGAGGTGCCAGGAACCATATCCGCCCCTCCTCCTCCATGGCTTGGGTGCTGTTCTGCAGATGTAGGCGTGGGTGGCAGAGTGGCAGAGTAATGATACCCCCTGCCCATCTCTGCCCCCAGCTGGGCACACTCTGCTTCTTCCTTCCTTCTCCCAGAACCTGCCATAGCCAGAAGCTCCCACCTCTGCCAGTGGGTGAAGACAACCCCCACTTCAGATCTCAGCAGCCAGTGCTGTGGCCCAGCACCAGGTGTTCTCATGTCCTTGGTTATGTCCCGTCCCAGGCTAAGGGTTTGCTGATCCCTGAGATGACTTGGTCCGACCACTGCACTTGGGTGCCCACAGCCATCCCAAGCCCCAGGGACCCTATTTCCCCGACTCCTGCTAATGTTCCAGGCCTCAGCTTTGGCTTCCCATGATCTATATTAAATTCTCAGTGATTACAGATCATTGTCTGTCAGAGCTGAAGGGCCTGTAGACACCATCTGGTCAAATCTACCCATTTTACAGGAAGGAAAGACTGAGGCCAGTGAGCGACAGTGACTTGTGCAAAATTACACTGAATGACTGGTGCAGCTGGTGCTGGATGCTGCACAACCCTGGCTTCCTGCATGACTGCCTGCTGGACTCTAGGCCTGCACTCAGGGACATGCTCCAAATGCTGTCTCTCTCCTTCCTGAGCCCGCCAGGTGCGGGTGGCTCAGTCCTGGGGCTTCAGCCCGTCTAGAGATTGAGTGAGGCACCTGTGGTTTTCTGGTTCAGGGCAGAACCTGGAACCTGACACCTGCTTCCCTGTCTCCTCTCCTCCACCTCAGAGTCCACTTCCTGCTACCTGGAGCCTCCCGCCTGCCCAGGCTGGCATAACCTGGAGTCTAGAGAACAGGCCAAGGAGACTCTCCCTAGCCCCCCAGGGCCCCTGCCCCAGGCGTTCCCCTGCTGACAGGGAGGGAAGTGCTGTTGGGCAGGGGCTGTCTTCTGTGGGATGTGGGGTGGGCGCGGTGGGGTCGTGTGGTGTGTTTTGGTCTCCTGTGCCTTGCTGGAACCTGTGTGTCTCACCACCTGCACCTTCCCCCCAGCCATGCAGCAAGTCCTGGACAACCTGGGATCCCTCCCCAATGCCACGGGGGCTGCGGAACTGGACCTGATCTTCCTTCGAGGCATTATGGAAAGTCCCATAGTCAGGTCCCTGGCCAAGGTATAGTGCTCCAGGGAGGTGGGCACAAGGGCACTGGGTCTGGGGAGGCTCAGTGGGGATGGGGTGTTAGCCACAGGGGGCCCTGGGAATGGAGCATGTGGCACAGGAGACCTGTGGAGGGGGGTATGCCCAGGTGAACATCCATGCCCAGGTGAAGAATCTGAGCGACTAGAGGTAGGAGGTCTGCCCCCACACCTGGCTAGTGAGTGTGTGGACACGCCTGTGTGGATGCACGGTTGGTGGCTGCCAGCTTGTGGAGGGTGTGAGTGGTGGGGGCCAGCGTGCCTATGTGTCGGACTCTCAAGAGTTCATCCTGCCTGTCCCTCTGCCGTTGGGCGTTCTGTGCAGACATCTTTTCAAGGTCACCTGCCACGTATTGGATGGAGCAAAGACTCGCTGAAAGAGGAAGTTATAAAACCACTTGGTCATGGCAGTGATAGCGGCAGATACACTAGGCATTTTAGGAACATAAAGGACAGATGCCCCACCTAGCCCGGAGTGGGCAGGGAAGGCTTCCTGGCGGAAGGGCCACTTGAGCGGAGTCTTAAAGAGTGAGGAGAGGAGGGAGGGCGTTCCAGGCCACAGGAAGAGCTTGAGCAGAAACAGGTGAGAAAGAGCCAGAAGTATACAGGGGCTGTGAGTGTCGGTGTGAGGCTGGAGCTGCAGGGGTGAGACAGGGAGTGTGAGCTGCGCAGATGTTGGCGGGTGTGGAGGGTGCTGGGGGCTGTGCCTGGGGCTTGGGCATCGTCCCGTGATGTCCTGTGAGTGACGTGGAGCCTTTCGTGAGCTTTAAGCAGGGACGTGATGATGGCAGTGGACGTTTTAGGCACATCCCTCTGGCAGCACATGGAGGACAGAGGGAGGGTCATGGCTGGAGTTGGAGAGACCAGAGTTGGGGGTGGCGCTGAGCTGGACCTGTGTCACAGGGCTTGAGGGAGGGGAGGCTGGAAGAAATATTTTGGGAGTGAATTGGCAGCACTTGGTGTTTGGGTGTGAGAGGTGAGGGGTGGGTGTGGAAGGCCCCTGGGATTCTGCACGAGGTGGGGGTGGGGGGAGTGTGAGGCTGGGGCCGCCTTCAACTGAGAGAAGAAGCAAGCATGGTGAGGAGAGAGGCGGACCCCTCAAGGAAGAGGGAGGAGGTGAGAATGGTGTGAATAGCTGTGTTGGAGGCAAGGCTGGGAGTGGCAGGGAATTATGCCTACTTGCTCAGATTTCTGAGGGGAGGGGGACAGCCATCTGCTGGGAGTTAGGGATCAGAGCTTGGGGGGGATTTGGAAGGGAAGGTTTGACTAATTGCTGAAGAGGAGGAGAGAGGGACTCCGCCAAAGCCAGGGAGCAGAATTGACAGGGCCCCAGGCTGTCTGTGGCAGGTACCCGATTGCCCAGGGTGGGGGTGACTCAGTCCAGAGATGCGGAGATAAAAGGGGTGGCTTTGGTCCAGGACTTGTGCTGGATGGGGGCTCTGGGAGGCTGAGTGCAGGGGATGGTGTGAAGGGGACAGGGGAGAGGGGCTGAGAGCATCACCTCTAAAGCCCAGGCAGGCCAGGGAGGGGAGAGGAACCAGGAAGAGACAGAGGCAGGGAGAGAATGGAGGCGCAGGCCTGGGGGCTCTCTGAGGTTGCTGTGTTTGGAGAGAGAGTGTAGCTGGAAGAGAAGAAGGCCGAGGTCAGAGAGAGGGAGGTGAGAGGTGAAAGATTTCCAAGAAGGACAGTTCTGGGGGGATGACATGACAATCTAGGGTGTGGCTGCAAAGGATGGGCAGAGGTCCAGGGATGGAAGGCTCGGATGTGGGATGGCGTTGGAATCTGGGGCTACAGCAGCTGTTGAGGTGGGGAGAAGACTGAGGCAGTCCCAGGTCTGCATGGTGGTGGGGGTGACTAGGAAGTCGGTAATGACAGTGACAGTGGGGAGGGAGAGGGTGGTACAGGCAGCTACAGGGTGAGGATGGGGACTCAGCTATGACTGGCTCTGGCATGGGGTGTGGAGGGGGACCAGGCCCCAGTGGAGGGAGAGAGCTGCTGCAGGGGACACAGCCTCGTCACGTTGTCATCTGTGGAGTGGCTAAAGAGGTGGGGAGGTTGTTAAGGACAGAAGATGAGAGGGCTGAGAGGGTCCATAGTGGGAGGTTCTAGGGAAGAGAAAGCTGAGCAGATTGGAGGAGGTTGGAGAAAGGCAGGTTGCTCTTCACTGGGTGGTCAAGGATTGTATTCATGTATTAAAAATAGAAACAAGGAATTATGCATGTCTCAGACACAGAGAATGGGAGCTCCATGAGGGCAAGGATGTCTGTTGGGATCCCTACTGTGTCCCCAGAGCCTAAAACAGTGCCTGGCACATAGTGGCTGCTCACTGGATATGTGCGAATGAATGAATACTAGAGAGTAGGAAATTACATACCAGACCTCGGAGTGCCCATCTCCATGATGGTGTGCTGGCTGGCCATATTCGCTTGAGTTCTGGCTCTTCCTTTTTAAGAAATAAAAAGTATGACACAGTCAGTGCCTCCCTGCGTTTCCTCGTTTCCACTGCTTTCCCTCCCCACAGATAACCGCTGGCTGGAGGTTGATGATGTCCTACCCCTGATGTTTTCATGTCTTGCCTATGTATGTACTTTATGTAAACAGTGTGCCCCGCATATGTGTTTTTCAGCTTTGCATAATGGGATGCTAGAGCGAGCTGCTTAGGTTTTTGAGATTTCTGGCTCATATGCGGAGTGTGGGTACGGACATGAGTGTGGATGTAGACAGAGAGAGAGATGGGTTCATGGTAACTGGTGTGAGGAATCCCAGTGTATGACAGAGCCCAGCGTCTTCATTGATGAGTTCCCCTGCTGAGAGACAGGTACCTGGGTGCTGACTTACCTCTGCTGGGGACAGCGCTGCAGGGAACGTCCTCATGGCCGTCTGCTGCACGTGTGAGAGCTTCTTGAGGGTGGACACTTGGCAGTGGAATTGCTGGATACGTGTGTTTTGAACCTCAACATCTGTGACCTTCCGAAGCTGATTTCAGAGTTGGGTGTATTAGGCCACGTCGTCTCTGGGTCACGTTAGCCATTGCTTCAGTAATGAGACGGCCAGTGAAATGTGGAGGGGCTCTCGGGATGGCAGACTCTCAGGGTGAGAAGGTCCTCTAGCCAGCCCCCTCCAAAGCATGATCCCCTTCAGTAGCCTTCCTCTCTGCTGGCTTTGTCTGATCCATTTGACAGCTCTCCCGTGATGGGACTGCTGGCTGGCTGGCTATGTCATTCACTCCGTCATTCAGTTACCCATCAGCTCTTCAACAAACATCTGTTGCATGCTCACCAAGTACCAGGCACAGTGCTGGGGCCATGGCGATGAGCTGTCAGAGAGTTTGTTCTTCTCCCGATGGAGCCCAAGTCTCATTTTCTCGCTGAGCTCTGCATTGTCCCAGACCTGGGGCCTCACAGTTCAGCCTAGTTGAGAACTTACCATGTGCTGTATCAGATGGAGAGTAAACTCCCTTCTCCAGAAATGTTCTTGGGGATAGCTGGTCAGAATTTCCTCCCAAGAAATTCCTAGTGTGGTTCCAGATGCACAAAGCACAATAGAAGGTGGTGTGGACATTTCTCCAACTCTGAGACCCCCAGTAAGAGGCTCCTGGGCTGAGGAACCCCAGTGATTTCTTCTCTCCATCTAGTTGTGAAACGAGCAGGAAGTGAATCTCCATAAAGGCCGGTCTGAGCTCCTCCGTGTGTGTGTGTGTGTGTGTGTGTGTGTGTGACACTGCAGGGGGGCTTTGCCACCCCTCTTCAATGGTAGAGTTTCTTTCTCCACTCTTCAATCTGGGCTTGACCACGAGACTTGCTTTGGACAGCGGGACCCACTTCTTACTCCTTCTCAGCAATTTTAATGATTACGTCTACATAGGTAAATTTCTAACCGAATAGACAAAGTACTTTGATCAAAGATCCAGCTGCAAACACTTGGTTCTCCTGGCGAAGTGACCCAGAAACCCTCAGGAAGGGAATCAAGTTGGATCTGCGTGTGGTGGCTGTTAACCTCCTTCCCTCTGCCTTATGGAGCGGCTTGACTCTCTTCTCTGGGGACGTGACAGAGGGTGTGGGAGGGGCCAGCCTGGGTAGATCTGGGACCAGGGAGGGGCAGGGCCTGAGGGGACTAACCCAGAGAGTTAAACACTAGAGGGAAGTCAAATCTGGTAGGCAGATCGCAAATCCAGGGCGTTGGCTGCAGACAGCAGGTGGCAGCCCTGGCAGGTGGGTGGCATCTGGGAGGGCTGACATGGATCCAGCAGCAGGTGTTTCAACAACAAGCAAGGCCAAGGTGAGGAATCCCAGGCAGGTGACATTCAGAAATTCAGGCAAACTGTTGCCAGTGGGGACATCTGCCAGCTGGCAGGCCTGGGAACTGATCCACATGAGATGAAGAGGAAAGAGATTAGGGTTTGGAGTCAGAAGATTCACTGACTGGCTGTGTGACTTTAGTATGTCTGACAACCTCTCTGAGCTTCAGTTATTTTCTTCTGAGAAGTTGAGATAATGATGCCCATCTCTCAGAGTCATGGTGGGAGAGGGGAGGTCATGGACATGGAAGTGCTTTTTAAACCATAAAGAGTTGTTATAATGTAGTTTTGGCCATCGGCCTGGAGTTCATAGGGAGGACTTTAGTCCTATGGTGAGGCTGGGGTGAGAGAGCTAGCAAAGTAAGACAAGGCCCTAGAAGAATGAGGGTCAAGGGAGGTCACTAAGATAGAGACTCTTGACCAGGGGACGTGACAAGCAGAGGCTACAGTGGCGGGGAGCCAGATGGGTCAGTTAGCTCTTGCTGTGTAACCAAGCACCCCGCCGCATAATAGCTTAAAACAGCTGTGCTTTACTTCTCATGATTTTGTGGATTGGTGGGTGGTTTTTCTGGTCTGGGCTTGCTGTGTTGGGGCCGGTGGTCTAAGATGGCCTTACATGTCTGGTGGTTCAGCTGGAAAGGCTGCCACGTCTAGGATGGGTGGTCTCTCCTCCTGGGAGG